TGGTTCTGACGCCGCGACCTTCTACGCTGAGCTCCAGGGCGACTGGCTACTTGCCCTTTGCACTGCCCTCGGCTTGGACACAGAACCTGCCCCTGGGCCCGGGGTGGGGGCATAAATCTGCAGCCTTCAGGTTTCCCCCACGGCAGCGGGTTGGTCCGTGCCAGTGAAATCCGCCAGGAAAGCGTTAACCAGTTCGGTCACATGGAGCTTGTGTCTAAAATTGTGTTTGGAGCAAAAATCAAAGTGTCGGCCTCAGGCACCTAAAGGGCCCTCGAGGAGACAAAAGCCTCTGTCTCCTGGGCTGGCTCCTGGCCCCCCCCCCCCCCGCCTGCGTGGTGACAGCTAGGGCCCCCTGGCCTGGTCCCCACACGACAACATCTGCCCGCTCAGAGTTAGCCAAGTAACGTCCCAGCATCTAGTCCCTCCTCCCCGGGGCTCCAGCGCCAGGCTCCCTGCCTCAGCCCAGCTCCTTGGCCCTTTTCATTAACATCGTTAAGATAAAACCTGCCCCGGAGACTTTCTTCTCCCTCTGCTCTTCCTTTCGGACTTAAACAGTGGCCTCCGGGCCCTGTCTCCACTCTCCCCAGAACCACGCCTGGCCTGGCCGCCCGCCTGGAGGGAAAGGCTGGGGCCCGGTTTGAGCACGGTGGCGAGGGAGCCCCTGTGCCCACGGGGCGAGGGGCCCAGGCCCACGAGGCAGCGGCTCTACTAAGGGCCGGCCTGTGTTTCCAGATGTACCTCCGGGAGCTGCTGCGACTCATGCACCTGCGCTTCTACCAGCACCTGGCCGCGCTGGGGGAGGACGGCTTGCAGATGCTCTTCTGCCACCGGTGGATCCTTCTCTGCTTCAAGCGCGAGTTTCCGGAGGCCGAGGCGCTGCGCATGTGGGAAGCATGCTGGGCGCATTATCAGGTGAGCCCCCGGGGCCGGGCACATTCCCTTTGCCGAGAGCTGCCCCGGCTGGAAGTGCTGGCGTGTGCCATGCTGGCCGGAACGTGATCTGGTGTGGGTGCACCTCCGCTCCCGGCCGACACTGCCCCGCTTAAAACAGGCTTTCCCAGCCTTGGAAACCGAGCCCTGCCGCTTCCCTCGCGGTCCCGTCAGCGAATGCAGATTGCGCAGGGCTGAGCTCGTTGCGGGCCCGTGGGCTGAACCTGCGGCTGTCGCAAGCGCTCGGTTCCAAGGGTCTCTGCTGTGTGGGAAGTTCAGCTGCAGACGGGCTCCCTCCCATCTCGAGTTGCAGCTCGGGGCCTTGCAATGGCTGGCTGGCTAAATGACGAGCCAGAGGACCAAGCGAGAAACGGGAGCCCCTGTGGGAGCGAGAGGCCGCTGCAGCTGGGCAGGTTTCTTCCACAGCCGGCGCTATGGGGAGTTCATTTCTGTAGTTGGCGGGGGAGGATCTGCCGAAGGGACTGTTCCTCCTGGGCGGGCACGTGGGCCTGGGGGAGAGCTCCCCAGGCAAGCGGTGACAGCGCAGTGACCACTCCACCGGGCCCCTCTTAGCCTGGCTGGTGCGACCAGGGCTGGGTGGTTTGTGGGGCCTCTCCCCTCCCCCTCGGCGCAGAGCGTGAGCCTGCCCGGGATTTGGGATGCCTGCACTTCCAGGGCCTGTCTGCCGCCTCTGCCAATCGCCCCGGCCGGCGGGTCTAG